AAACGAGTTATGAAAACGCCGCGCCCATCGCCGCGCGTGGCGGCGCGGCGAAATACGATCCTCTTTACCGTCTCCCAAAAATGGAGATATGACGTTCCTAGGACGCTGGTCCAAGCTTGACAGGGGTTTACAGGGTAATTGACAGGAACTCACAGGATTTAGGGGAAGACACACGATTGTGAGAAGCCCCTGCACCCCATTTCGGCAGTGTTTTTGCACCAGTTCCGGCTAAAAATATTCATTTCAAACAGTTCCTTGGACTGATACTAGTTACTTGGCGGCTTAACTCAAATAAAGTTACCTTTGGCAAGCGGTGCTACTTATCACCTGCGTTGTCCATGGAGGTCAAGTCCCAGATTTCCTTCCTCCTAGGCCAGCTAAGCTTTTAATCCCTAGTTGAGTGGTAATAGACTGGGGTGGGTTCAGCTAAGGGGGGGGGGGCACATGGTGGTTAGCGAAACTCACACAAGCCAACTTGTAATGGCCTGTAAATTCCTGTAACCGAAGTAGCATACGTGTAAAAATTCGCAGACTTACAAGGGTTTACAGGTCGGAACAAAATGAGATTTATTTAGTTAACACGAACCTGCAAAAGGGACTAGCGAAAGTGCAGTATGCCTCCTTACCAAGCCAGACAGCGGCCCTTGGGGCGCTGTTCGGCTTAATTTTCGCTGTTCGGAAATAATTAGAGGGGTAAAAGCACCCACTTCTACATCGGTTGGCCCCGCAAATAATAGTTTCGTGGGCAAAATCGCATTTAAAAATGTCGTTATGATTCTGAATGGAAGTAGATGGGCGGCGCATCGAAAAAGGGATTAATTAGGCTGGAAGCTTTTATCCCTCATGTTCGACAAGCCTTACATCTAATGCACTTCATAGAAAAACTCCCAAATGTGTTTCTGAAGGTGGGCGGTAACTGGCGCCGCGGCAGGTCCCGACACGATTCACTGCACTTAGCACGTGAGTAGTAGGGCAAGCAGCTGAGCCATGACGGGAGTCTCGGCGCAGGACTTCCGTCCGACAAACGCACTTTTCCTCATTTCCTTTCGCTGATGGGGTTTTGAACTCGTTCACTCTTGGAAAAGCCTCTTGAGTGACATTAACGGCCTGCGGCTGCTTAGCGACGGTCGTTGTTGTTGTTGTTTCATCTCTATGATGGAGCTAGGGGGGAGTTCGCAATAGTACTGCCCTCAGTATAACTTTGGATCAGTTATGTGCCGTACACAGGTACTGTGGGCGCTAGTTTCGCGTGCGCCCATGACGTTATCGATCAGGCCACTGGGCGGCAGTTCGCCCCTGATTGATCGTTGGCGCCGCGTCCGGCGAGTTCGTCCTCGCAGTCATCACACCACACATTTCGCTCACGAGTTCGATTTTTAAACACTTCGTTTTGTCATTCTCCAGTCATTTGACTAAAGTCTAACTATATTTCTCTACAGTATATGACTGACATGGCTTCGACATCCGCTGGAGCGCTACGAGCGCTAGCTATGGAATTGAAGAACATCGAGTCCCAGCCACTAGAAGGTTTCACCATTTCGGCCAGCGATGACAATTTAAGTTCGGTTCTGACTGTAGGAATAGGACGCGTCTCAAATAAGGCGCCTATATCACGTATCTCTTTCTAACTTCCAATAATAAATCCAAGTCCGTGTTGCTCATGACAACTTGAAAAGAACTGCAGAACTGTGGCTGGTTGAAGAAGGTAAGTATCGAGCTGAAAGAATTGGAATTAGAGTCAGTGTGACACTCTCCTACCCATTGCCTGAAATTCCGCCAGAATTCCACTTTGTGGGAATATCTACAAACCGCGCATCCTCCCTTTTTCTCACGCTGGCTCCTTCTTCGCTTCCATCCTTCTCTGTCCTATTCTTATTCCTTCCTCTGGCCAAAATAGCGTGAAATACCTACGTTGCAGCAAGAGACAAATCTAGGGAACCAGAAGCCGCTGTAATAAATCTCCGAAACGTGCGGACCGGACCAATTAGTGCCTATCAAGCCGTTCATCTAGTACGTTGGGTTCTCAGTGGGGGTGGGGAGGTCGTGGGGTCGTATTTGATCGCTGGATGGGGATCGTATTTAATCGAAAAAAAATTTGATAGTTTGTTTTTTCCCTTTTTCAGCTGTCGCTGCCACATCGTGAAGAATCTATGGCTGGGCGTCGTATTTGCCAGTCCGTTATGGGAGAAAAGGGTCTGCCTTGGAAAGAAACTTGCCCCACGGTCGCGAAAAAATTCGTACGGTCCGTAGTTCTAGTGTTCAGAACTACTATGTATTCGATAGTGAAAATATAGAACTGGTTATGACGACCCCGGCCCCCCCCCCCTTCGCTCGACGCCGACTTCCGAAAGAAAGCTGAATTTAAGAAACTTCAGGAAGTGTATAGGAAGTTGGGAAGAAAAAGAAGAAGGTGGGTGGGTAGGAGGTCGTGTTCCACGGAAGTTTCCCCTCTTGCCCTGCCATCAAGTCTTTATTCGCAAATGCGGCATTTCGGTAGTTCCACGGTACTTCGAATCGATACGTGTTTTTTCTTCTACCCGTCGTCAAAGTCGTCATGTATGAATGCGGCCCAAAAGAATTTTGAAATATATATTGTCAATAAATGGCTTTCAGGGAGGATATTTTAAAGCTGTGATACGTTTTCCGCCAAATTACCCCTACTCACCGCCATCAATGAAATTTCTCACCAAAGTTTGGCATCCTAATGTTTATGAGGTGAGTGTGAAATGCTGATCAATTTTTGAACGCAAAGTGCTATTACAACATAGTACAAGGCGGTTAATCCGCGTTCGTTATATCGATTAGACAAGCCCGCTGGAAGGGGAAGAGAGGGGAGGGGGAAATTTCAAGACTTGAGCGAAACTTGTGTCGCAGTAAGGTGTAACACATTCTCAGACAAGGGAATTTGTTCGCACGCTTATCCCTGTGTCCTCATTTTGCCAAAGCAAAACTTCTCAACATTTCTACGGCTACCCATTTTTGAAGTCCTAACCCCACTCCCTCTGGACCACCTCTCTACTCGCTGCATCTTGAGGGGTCAAGAAATACTTCAGCTAGTCAAAAGATATGGTTCTGGTGGCCAACGGGACGAATTCCGCGCCATCGATTTCATTGTGTTGTTTGAGCGGCCCATGCTTTTAACGAACAAAATAAAAACATCTTTTACTCAATAGTTGAAAATTTTCAGAATGGCGATCTTTGCATTAGCATCCTTCATCCTCCAGTTGACGATCCACACAGTGGCGAGTTACCTTGCGAAAGGTGGAACCCAACCCAAAGCGTGAGGTGAGTCAGCTTTACTTAATTTTTGCATCTAGAAGGAAACTAGTTTCTGACGTGTAGAGGGGGGAGAGAGCGAGACCATAACATACTGCGACGCAAGTAATCGTCTGCAGTGGAATAATGGTTCCTTCCTTCCTGCGAGCTTAGTTTCGGGTGGTACCTAGCCGCCCACTATGCTCAGGGAAAAGAAGGGGCCACT